TCTCCCCCCACTCCCACCCCCACCTCCCCCTCTAGGAGAGGAGGGAGAGAGAGAGAGAGAGAGAGAGAGAGAGAGAGAGAGAGAGAGAGAGAGGAGAGAGACTGTAGAGTTAGCAAACAAGTTTAGCAAAGTTTCAGGATGAGAACTGACACATAGGCTGAGGCTGTTGTTCAGTCGCTGTGCACTTGACTACCATGCCAGTCCTCTTACACTGTATTTTAATGGTACCTATTTTTGTCCAACCTCCAAAGCCTAGGCCATGAGCTTGAGCCTGGGCAGTTGTCAATTCATTGATAATACATTCTACTGACATTGCTCTCGGGTTCCAACAGAAGGAAAACAAAGCCCAGCTCACAGTGAAGGTTTATACTGGCTGCAGTGGTGCACACCTGTAATCCCAACATTTAGGAGGTAAAGGGAGAAGGATCAGAAGTTCAGTCATCTTCAGCCTTGTGGAGAGTTTGAGGCCAGCCTGGGCTACATTCAATTCAGTTTCAGACAGAGAAGGGAAGGGAAGGGAGGGGACGGGAAAGGAAAGACGACATTAAGTTGGGTTTTATACACTAACGAGAGTAAAAAGGAAATGAAAATAATTCTATTTACAATAACATCAGAAAGGTAAAAATACTTAAGATTAAATTTAACCAAGGAGACTTGTATACAAGTCTTGTATACAAGAAAGGCTTGTATAATGAAATCTACACAACATTGATGAAAAGAGTTTTAAGGTATAAATAAGTGGAAAAATGTGCTGTGTTCATGAACTGGAAGACTTAACTTTTAATACCATACATCTAATGATTCAAACCAAAGCATCCTACAGATTCAGGGAAACCTGAATATTTTTTCTTTCACATGTAGAAAAATTCATCAGCAGCTAAATTATATTTTAATGAGAATAGAGCTTAAAAGGAAAGAGAGAGAAAGAAAGAGGAGAGAAAATATTTCTAATGGGCTAATAAGAATATTAAAAAATATTAACCCTCAGGGAAGTGCAAATTAAAATCACACACACACACACACACACACACACACACACACACACACCAGAATGACTAAAATTAAAGAGTGACAATCAAATGTGACAAAGATGTGGATCATGTGCAACTCCTACACTGGGTGTTGGGACTGGAAACTGTTCACCCACTTTAACAACATCTAAACTTACACCTAACATGAGACTCTGAGGTCCTGCACCCTCAACCTGTCCATGATTACATGCATGTTCACTGAAGAGTATGGAGCACCCTCAATATTTCAAACTCAGGAGAAACAGTAGTAACAACAAAACAAAACATGATAAAAATGGCCCACAGTGAGCAGTTCTAGAGGGTCAGTCAGAGGATAAAAGCAATTATACTACAATTGAGTACCAAAAATGGGTGCTGGATCAGAAGCCCAGGCTTTTAATTCAGCACTCTAGAGGCAGAGGCAGAGGATCTCTGTGAGTTCAACAGCAGCTTGGTCGACACAGAGAGAGCCAGTCCAGCCAGGGCTAAATAGTGAGACTCTGCGTCAGAAAAAGAAAACAAAAAATATATACAGTATAAATATATAATATAGTATATGTGCAATATATAATATATATTTTTATATGTGCAATATATAA